TGCGACAGCCACATCATTATGGTCCAGTATGCGGCACCTGGAGCAAAAATGCTCAAAGGCACAATCCGTCAAAAAGCAAAGCTGGCAAACGTCTGAAGAATCCACCGTTGTAGAGAAGTTATGGCTCGGGTGCCTAAACGTCAATGGCCAGGCCTAAGCGAGCGTGTGTTGGGCGGGTTTGCTTTTGAATAAGGATCCAAGAGGTGGTGCTACCCAGCGTGCTCAAAAACGCCAAAACTGAATCGAGCTTCTGTGCATCTGCGCATGCGGCCCGCAGCGTCAATGACTTGCTTCCGCTGTAGACCTTCTGATGCCAATGGTGAAAATGGCAGAGCCACGATGAACGTCAAGCTGCGATAGGCCTCGGATTGGCAACAGCTGACTCTTGCGACAGTTCCTGCGACTGCTCCTACGAAGGTTCCTGCGATGGTTCCTGTGACGGCTCGTGCGACATGCTGCTTGCGTGGAAGAATCCCACCTTCACGGATTACGTGGTCTGGACGGTTTGAGAATCTCGGACACTAAATGCCGCTCCTGTGCTGCCGCCTAAGATACAAGTAGATCTGTAGACTCTAGAATAACTTCAGTTTGACAAAAGAGAACGAGGCCTCCTGTAGCAGTTGGTCGTCAGGATCCGCATCCAGGCCGTCAGCGGCGACACTCAGTGACTCTATACTCGGAAATTCGAACTGCGGGTCCGCAATCAAGGTCAACACCTCAAGGCTTTGTCCAGGTGAAGTGTATGCTGCTAGGAGGAGCTTGGAAAAGGTTGCATCGCCGAAGATGCCTCGAAACAGCAGCACGACAAGGTAATACGCGCATGGCTTTAGCTTGGCCATTTGCCTCTTGCCCTGGACTACCACACACTCGACCTGCAAGCTATCTTGCAGCATGATCTGGAAGACCTCGCATGCACTGAAGGATTCTGGCTCTGTGATGGAGCTGATGATTAGAATCCGAGCACAGCCTGTGAGCCTGGCTTTCGACCCTGTTCCCTGCTCCCGGAACCCGAGGGGAGCCAGAGGCAAAGCCGTAGCAGCAGCCGCCGCTGCGGCCGTGGCTGCCTGACTGGCTTTGCTTGCCATCGAGAGGAGTCTGCAGCGGCCGAGCATCTCCACCACCGCATCCTCCCGGCTGCTGACCTTGGGCAACACCCGGCAAGAAAAGAATACAAAGATAATTTTTTTTACGTCGACTCGACCCTCGAGGCGCAGGCTGGTCCGAAGCGCGGCATTCTCACAGGGTTGAGGTCGCAGAGCCACGTGTAGGCGGTGTGGACGTCCTCAATGTCGATGCCGAAGTCTGCAAGGATCTGCCTCTGTTGCGGCGTCCACCAGCTTGGCATCAATCGCTGCGCCTCTTCTGTGAGTGGCTGGAAGCCGTCACACAAGACGGGCACTGTGGTGATCTTGTTCTTCCAGGCTGTCGTGATTTCCCCAGCACAGTAGACACGCTTCAAAAGCTCAGAAGTGAGAACCACCACCAAACTTCTCGTTGATGCTTTAACGATGTCAAACAACAGATCCAAGTTCTCTAACTGGTCGCAATCCAGAAAGACCCGAGTCGAGCTGTGCTTTGCAATCAAGATCTTCATCAACCGGCAGAGGCTGCCTGCACCACCCTTGTGATGACAAAGAAAGACTCCAAACAGACAGCTGCTTCTCAGATGCTTCCACAAAGCTCGTAGAATGGCTAACACACCCGCAAGTAGGAGCCCAAGGACAGGAATGCAGAGGAGCCAGCCAAGCACCAGAGAGTTTTTTTTGAGGTCTGCGGAAAGAAGTGGGGCCGCACCTAGAAGAATCACCAGTAACAAAGCCGTCAGCAGCAAGTCCATGTGGTTGGCCTGCGCTGTGCAACACTTCTGAGTATGTGCAACGTGCAGCATGCAACCCTTTGCCCGCCTGGACCGTGCGCCAAGGGTATGTGCGGGCTTGCAAAACCAAACCCGCAAGTAAGACGACTCCCATTGCAGGGACTTGCAGCTCCGGCACTTCCATGGTCAGAACGGGCAATAGAGCCACCAGAGCACCACGGTAAAGCAGAGTCAGACCATAGTAAAAATTTTGTGGCTTGAAGCGATGAAAGAAGAATCGATATCTATTCACGAGACGGAGGCCCCTCCCACTGGCAATCCGCGACGGGTACATCAAGGTAGCATATGAAGCCCAAGCCAGAAACGCCACTGGCTGACCGAGCATACCCAGCACTGCCAGGATGACCATAGCCTGGTGCTCCTCGGATTCGTAGCAAATAATGCCAGGGTCCGTGACCATCGAGGAGCTACCATTTGGATTTGAAGTGCATTGGAAAGGAACCAATGTGGTGAGGGTAATGGACAAGAAAAAGGCAAACAGCAGCGATCCACATAGATTCAGCACTGCATCCCAAGGCTTTGCCCGGCCAACAGCATTCATCAACAGCCAGGTCAATAGAAGAATGGCACAGCTTGCTGGACACGCCAGCAGCTGACTCACGAAATACAGGACAGCGCTGTCCGCTCCGTACAGGCACGATAGGCGGATAATGTCGAAGTCCAAGGTGATGAACCTGGAAAGGTCAAGGAGTTGCCTAACAGGGTCTTGCCATTCGATGGACAACTGTCGCATGGTGCCAAGCATTTGGATAGCCAATAGCAGCTGGCCGGCCACTGCAGCAGCCGTGAGAAGATTTAAACCTTGTTCTGCTTCAACCACGCAAACAGTTCTGACAGACTCAAAACAGGATGAACCCTTGCATGCCACTTGGAGATTGTTTAAAGGGCCAGTGCTGCCAGGGCTCTTGATTGACTCGGCTCGCAGCGCAGCTGGCTGAGCAGCGCCAAAAAGGAAACCCAAAACATCATAGCCAAAATCCCTGGAAGTACATCTGCTTGGCTGCACAGCTAACACGTCCCATCTGATATCGGGAAGTGGTTGAGTTGGCAGTTGTTGCATGCCTGCCCTTCTCGTCCGAACGCACAGCTGCCCAACTTTGCTTCTGGACACTCCTGGGCGCTTCGGCAGCGGAAGACCGAGAATCGGCAGCGGGAGGTGGAGTTTGATTCGACGTCAGCCTCGGCCCAAAAGCCAGCTCGCTGAAGCGGGCGGCCCAAACCTTTCGGACATCGTAGGCCCTCGGGGCACGGAAGGCAACCGTCGCCGTCACACATGAAGGAACCTTCAGGGCACATGCACGCGGAGTAGGAGAGCGCGCCGCTCTCTTCCGTAATCTGATTCTTGCCACACGAAGTGCATCCTGCCCCACGTGCCAGGGGCATGAAGGTGCCTAGAGGGCACCTGGTGCAGCCCTCCATGCCCTTGAGGGGTGCCTCAGACCCTGGAAGACAAGCACCTCGGCAAATGCAAGGCAACAATGCCCAAGGAAGCAAAGCATGGGTCCGTTCTTTTGAGCTAACATGCTGAACAAGGCGCTGCACTCGAAGGAACCGACATCCGCTGCAAAGTGACCCTCTGGACACTTGGTGCAGTTCGACAGACCTGTTTCATTCGCGTAGGTCCCCCTGGGACAGGGAGTGAAGGAGGCATTGTTCCCTAAGCACATCATGCCTTTCGGACAGAGTTTGCACTGTCTGGAGTCCTCCTCCTTATAGAAACCGACATCGCAGGCTGACAGTTCCTCGGGAAACCTGCTTTGTGCCTGCCCATTCATCCAGACCAAGTCTTTTGGAATTCTAAAGCTTCTCGTAGATGCACTGAAGGTGGCCGCGTGGATCAACGTCGGGAAACGGGACAGTCGATCAACTTGCACGTTCAGCAGGTCAAAGGCTGACATACGGTCGCCGTTTTCATCAAAGCTCACCTCGCCGGAGATGCCGGTGAAGGAGAGGGAAAGCATCTCTTGCAAGAGCAAAGGGCCTCGCATCTCAGACTCTACGACTCCTTTGTGCAGGAGTGCATTGATGGCTAGCAGGAATACGTACAAAGCATCGAACATCAGCGCAGCCCATCCTGACAGTGTCTCCGGATTCGCCGACAAAGCGTCCACAACAGCCTGCGAATCCAGCTGCACCCTCATCTTCTGCAGCTTGTACTTGGCATCTGCAGCTGGGCCGATCATATCTCCTGGTTCTAACCTCGACCAGAGATACTGGAAATCCTGCATTTTGGCTCCTTTGCTTGTCGACTGAAAGAGCATGAATCCCACAGGCAGCAAGCTGCGGATGTCGGCAGCTGAGCCGCTAGAGTCGGATCCTACGACCTGCCAACCTGCACCCAACATCTTTTCCTCTTTCAGGATCAACAGAAATTCACGAACGTTGCTTATGAGCAGAAACACGAAGCGAGAGCCCATGCGCTGAACAGCTCTCGCGACGTCTCGGGCTTCCTCCTTGATGAAGTTCTTTGGCATATATCGGAGAGACACTCCCTGCACGCGGCCTTGTTGCTTTGCTTTGGCAGCAAATTCCGTGAGGGTGCTGAAAAGACCTAGGCCGTAGCTCTCCGTTGTGTAAACGCAAGTCGCCAGCACAACGTCAAAGTGTAGGATCCAGCTCCACATGGCAAGGGCCTGGATATTGTCTGGTGCCACAGTGCGCAAAAAGAAAGGGTACGAGTCCTTGTTCGACAGTGCGAGGCTCGTGGCTGTGGAGGACACTTGCGGGACCTGGCGGACCCCTGCCACAGTTGCCTGCAGGGACAACCCTCGGTTTAGCGCCACCTCACCACAAGTTCACCACATCTAACCACATAAGTCATGGTTTCTAGCTTGGCCAAGCGACAATCGCCATCGTGACAGACGAGATGGTGGAACCGATAAGCCCCACAACGGGCGGCTCGTCATCCAGTCCTAGCATCATGTCCAAAGCCGTTGCAACCCCCACTTCCTGCTCGAGGTGTGTTGTTCCGATGCGGAGTGCAATGCGCGTCGCATTTGCATGCACACCCCCCGGAATGGGCACGATGGGGGGGCCTAGCCGGGCTGCTAAAGAGACATCCCAGTTCTTCTGGTAATCCAAGAATGCGGCAATGAGGGCGATCAGCTCTTCAGGCTCGTAGGCCGTCCAGCCCGCTAGCGCCCCCAGCGCGATGTCGCAAGCAGCGCGCTGGGCAAGCTGCACCCACACCACCAAACCATGGCACAGTAGCCAATGCAAGCGCATGAAAAGAGTCCTACACACAGCAGTCCTACGTTGTTCTCCCTACTTTGGGCAAATTTGCATGGTGTCTTCTCACAGAAGTCAAACTGCTGTGAATGGAGTTATGGAAATGGGAATTGTTGCTTTGATCATGCAAGCACATCTTGGATCCCTGCTTCGCCTGTGCTTCTTCTACCGCACCTGGCTGTTCTCCCTCCTTCCTTGCGAGGCTTTTAGTGCAACACGAGCTCTGTACTGCCGCCCCGTGTGTTGCAGCGAAGCGGCTTTGCCTGTACACGGAGAGTGCTGGAGTCCAACGCCCGTGCAGCGCTAGTTGCAGTGTGGGCGGTCACGAATTCAAGCTGCTAATGGTCCAAACTTCAACCCCAGGAATTGACATTGCCCCAGGCCCCAAACTCCCCCAACTTCCCCTGCCCCTCCTTCGCCTCCTTCCTCTCTGTCCTTTGTCTCACTGGCGGCCAAGGCGAGGCGGAGGATGCGATGTGCGGCCTTGTCGGGAACCAACAGAAATCTAACGCCGAGCTCTTGACGCTCGAGGCTTAGCTGGTGCGAAACCCTAACCTTTAAACCCGAAATCCGCGGAACAAAACCCTTGAACCTCCCGAATCGTCGAATCCCGATGCGTTGCCATAATCCTTGCATCCTGGCACCTTAAACGCCTGAACGCGTAAACCGAAACCCCACCCTGAAACCTGAACCAATATCCCTGCGGCCTAACCTGTGCCGTAATTCTACAGAGGAAGAAACCAGGGAGGCTTGAAGTTTCTTTCGTGTCTCGCTTTTTCGTGTTTGCTTTCGTTTTGGGGCTCTCTTGCCAATACCTGCCCACATCCTAGCGATTGTCTAAAGATTCCCAAGTAGCAGAATCATGTACGCTATTTTGTTTATAAACATCGGCATCATGTGTACATGTATGTGTATATATATATACATATTCAACTTGAGTACGCAACCAACAAGTAAGCTGTATACCCCATGAGGTTAGTACGTGGGTAAAAACTGTAGTTGTTGCTTGACTAATATTCAGTGGTGCATGTATCACGTTGCGAATGCTCGGACACTGTGTCACTGTACATACGCTCACAACAACCAGACAACCGGTACATCGTCGTCAATATTTGCTGTATGTGTTGAACCGCAATATGTACGACGTAATCCAAAGCCACATCGATGACTACTCAATCAAGTCTCAAGTCGCAGAAGCAGGACCTGTCCTACTAACCATCTCGCCGATATGGTACAAAACTGAGAAATACTGATACATGTCAGATCATTTCCTGTTTAAACAAGATGAACTTGGTTTATTGTCTTTGAAGATGTGGACCCTAAAGACATAATAGTTGAGTGTTTTTCATGTTGGGGGATGTTGAGTATCGCTTCTGTCAGTACACACGAGATAAAGGAAACTTTAAAAGGAGCAAGCCATCGTCTACTACCTAAGGGCGGAGACATAACACATGAAATGTGCAACCTCATGATGCGGTCATGACTCAGGTATCGGACTAGGGGTCGCTCAAATATTATCTGCATTGCGCTGAATAGTTTCCTACCACCGGTGCGATATCAGTTACATACGGTTGGTCTTGTTGTCGAATTTCAACTACGCGTGCATTTCACCATTAGTTGCCTGAACAGTTAGCCATGACGAATATTGTGGACTATAAAATACTGTGATATTGTCACGCTTTAATATGCAACAATGGTTTGCCTGGTGATTCTAAAGAAGAGCAAGCTTACCATAGCATTGCATAAATCCGAAACACATGTGATGTTCGTTAAGATGGCATAGCAATACAGCTATTCAATTCAATACTGACCGATAGTTAGACATCAAATTAATGTTGAAGCGAGAGCTAGTTGCATTACCATCAGAAGATGTAATGCTGTTCAACATCACACTGCACCCCTTGCCATTCATCGGTATTGGCAGGGTTTTCGATTCATACCGTCTACAAGCATTCAACCCATTTACTCTTTTTGCCTACCGGGTTCCCCCCTCAAAAAAGGGTCCCTCATTCTAAAGCCCTGATTCTCAAGCCGACGGCCGAGGTCGCCGCTCCACAGCGATGAGAGTCTTGATAATGACATCCTCGATTCGCGACATCGCCAACCCGTAGTCAAGGCCTTGGACTTCAATCTCCAGGTTTTGCTTGGTGCACATATTTGCACGGTATAGTTTGCACAATTGGCCATCGGATACATGGTGGATGCACCGAGGTGCACACACCTTTAGAGTCTAGACAGCCGCATGTGTGTTCACACACATGCCCGATCTTTACACGTGTATAAACACGCAGAGAGACCGAACGACGAGCTAGGAGGGTAGGAATCTGCACGCCATTGGGTCATCGTGCACAAGACCCTGAGCCCGACTCGGGAGCAGACCCTGAGTCTTGAAATACTCCTCGAGTTTCCTGGGCAAAGGAAAGGGTCGGGGACTTGTCTCCAGCCTGGCTGGGCAGGTCCTCTGGTCGGGAAGACCCATTTTCAGGGATGGACTTATTAGGGCCAACTATAAGAAAGTCGGCGTGAGATAAACTCTGAACTCTTCTGGCATTGGTTGCGGTTGACCTCCTCTTCAGGGCTCTCGGTGACCCAAAAACGAAAAACTTGAGGCTCTGATTCATAAGTATCGACAGTTACAAGACGATGAACCTAACAACCTCGATCTGCGGCCTCAAGGACCACTTCGAAGATCCAGTGCTTTCCTGGCGAGTGCAAGAAGCCACGAGAGGGAGGGTGAAGCTTAAGCCTCCGACGACCGGGACGATCCGGACTCGGACCAAGACAACCACTCTAACTAAAGTATCAATGCACCCAGCATCCACGACGAGAGTGGCAGACAAGTCAAGGCCTCCGCTTCGGTGGAATCGCCAGCCCGCGGGGCCTCTTGGAACCACTCGAAGTTTCGAGGTAAGTTCACACTTGCTGAGGGATCAAGAGCGAGAAAGCCATCCGGCAACTTTCAACCAGGTTGGTCTCCGCACAACCGCCACCACAATACAATGAAGTCAGCAGCATGCAGCACAAGCAGTTGTGATTCATTCATGGATTCTCAAGCTGCGCCTGAGGCGGACTTTGGTCATCTTTCTGACATTCTCTGAATTCTTCCGCTCTCTGGAGCTTTCTATCTCTGGTCCCTTTCGAGCGGTTGCCTCTTCTTCATGTATGGTGATGGCTCTTGACTCTCATAGTCTCTACAGTCCCTTTCCGGCGCTCTGCTCCTTGGTCCAAGGTTCTCTAATCGAGGGATTTGCCCTGCCTGCCGTGGAATTTTGCTCTGAATTTCCTTTCTTGTCTAAACTCCCCCCGCCTCCCTGCGGCACAAAAACAACACAACTATGGGCCGAAGCTTCGTGGCAATGTCTTGCATCAGTCAGCGGTGCCACTGCCACTCCCCACTCCCTGGCTCCAACCTCCCCTCCGGCCTCAGCTTTCAGGCTTTCGGAGGCCTCTTCTTCGGCCTCGGCTCCCTGTCACAGCTGTGGATAGGCAAGAGTTCGTTAGTTTTGGGATCGGGGAAGGAATCACAGGAATCACTGTAAGGGAGTCACAGCATCAGCATCTTCCGCATCTTGGCCATCCAGATTTTGCTTGTAGCCTTTGCACAAGCAAATCTTTGTGTGCGGAGCATGCTGGCTAGGCAAGCTTCGGCAGCCTTAAAGGTTTAAGCTTCAATCCCCAGTCACAAATAAACATCAGAGGCGACTACCTCATGACTTTCAATGCCAACACCGACGCCACCCGCAGCTCAGTTCTCCTAAATGACCGCAAAACCCCGAAACTTTGACACGCAGCAAGCCCCGAATTCGACACAAAGCATCACACCAAAGACCACAAAAGAGGTCAGCAAAATCCTCCTTCATGGTCCTTATAAGATGCACATGTATTTCACACATCCCAAAACCCTGATCTCATTATGAAGACTCTACATCAAATCGCAAAACCCCAAGCCCGAATTCCCAATCGTTGCCCCCCCAGGATGAAGGGCCCCAACTAGCTGCGTGCTTGTTCACCGAGTCATTTGTAAGGTGCATGGTCCTCTCTTGCAGACCTCAGAAACGGCAGGATTTAGGACTTTTCGGACTTGGGAAACTAGAAGACCTCAAATTCACGTTGCGGTTCCTTTCGTCTCCTCTTCGAAGTCTTCGAAATGCTCAGATGGACAGACTACAACTCTTTGCAGCTTCGCCCTGAGCAGCGAATCAGAGGGGGGTCCCAGGACGAACAATCGGAAGTTGAGGGAACTGCATGTTTACGGTTTGAGCCTGGGCATTCGGGCCTCAGAATTCTGTTGCGTTTGAGACGTGCCGAACCACGGGCGACATAGGGATAAGGATCCGGCAACCCCATCGCAGGAAACTGCATCGCATAAATCGACGATGCATCGTGGTATCGGAGTTCAAGCATGGTACAAGTAGCCAAACCACAAACAGATCGAACCGATGTAATACAATCACGGCTACAGCGTTTCGTGGCTGATAATGGGTTTGCATTTCCAAGAAAGCAACCTGAAGATGGATTTTGTTGCAGGAACCAGAATCCAGCGCAATCCCTACTTGGTGGTCGACATCTGCGGGCTCAAATTTCGCGAATGTGAGGGTGAACTCTCCAGACGCAGTCAACTGATGCACCGAAAACTCTGAGTTTGGACGAGAAAGGCTTTTTGGAAAGCCCTGAGATCTGCGTCCTGAGCCAGGCACTGTCGGCCGAACACCGATACTTCTACGTAGCCAGGCGCACAAGTCCCTCCTCATTGATGTAGACCTCTCATTCGACACGGGCTTGCTGTTTTGGGTCTCTTTCCGGCCTGATGGTCGTTCTGGGTCTTTTTCCGACTTGCCTGTGATCTCTCTACCCCTGGTTGTAGTTTTGGATCGTTTTCCAACCCGCCTCGCCTGCATGCTGGGCAAGAAAGCCATGAACTCCTCACCATTGCTGTCACGCGGTTTTGCCACTGGAGCAGGCGCCAAAGAACCGTGCTGTCGGCCAATCCAAACTCG